GGTGAAAATAATTACATCACTATGCCAAAAGAACTGTTCCAAGAGAAAGGTAACTTCTAAACCGAGCCTCTTCCAAATTATGAACCCTAATGGACAGAAGTTTAAACAAGGACTAAAACGTTGACGGGACAAGTTTCCCTGAAATCCCAATTTCGGAGAACAATACGTCCGCCATCTTGAATAATGGGACTCGAATTGCTAAATTAAAACTCCTAAAGAAATTATAAGATTCTAAGCTAATGTCAAGTTAATATAATACGATATAATGATAGATTAGTTGATTTAGCAACTACGAAATGTGTTCTAAGGCACAACATATTGATTCGGATCTCAAGATGGCGAAGTCATTGTTCTCCGAAACTCTTGATGTGGCCATTTAATCAGAATTTCGCATAGACACTGCCTGTTATTACCAACATGCTGATGTTTTATTCACCATTTCAAAATTTTACCCTCGCCCTTATAATATTCATAGACAATGTCATCGTCGTCAGCGTTGTCTTCAAGAATGATAAAAACGATACACTACGAAAATCAACGCCAAAGATCTTTGAAGGATCTTCTATGAATTATGCAAGGTTTGGTAGTCTTATTCTGTCTTATCCTAACGTATCAGTCAATTGAAACACCGGACTCTCTACTCCTAGGAACGGCCGGGGAATTAACAAGCTATACCCGGGGTTTAACGCTGATTTAACAGAATCAACCCTCGGGTAGAAGGCGGAATTAACACCGGGGATTTACACCGTTTATCACCTATTTATACAATTATTTATTTATATTTACACCTAATTACACAAACGTTGCCCAAGAAAAAAGAACTTTTACTATTTAGGAATTAATTAAAATACAAAAGAAAGTGTTCGGCTTAAGTGGTCATGTTTTCTCTTTTAATGTATTCCTAATTTCCAAAATCCCTAAATCTCAGGACTACGTTTTCGTAATTAGGTGTATACCGTTATAGCCGGGGTTTTAAAAGCATCAATCGACAGTCAGGGGGAGGAATTACGGTAGTCTCTAACTTCTATCGTCTAACGCCTCTCTTAGCCTCGAAGGGCCGTGAAATGCCCGGACTCCCCCGTCATTGGTGATACACTATGATGTATACCATAATAATTACTATGTAAGCGAATGTGTCAATAAAAAATATTGACTCCTTTCAACAGGATGAATACAAAGATCGTGTCTCTCAGTACTTATCCAAAACTGAAAGAACCGTTGGATGAGAATATATTGATTGCCTTTCAGCATATACAGGTATGAYTAAACAGACATTATCTGCGTTATGTCAACGCTTGTGTTACTTACTATGTAGACAAAAACCTGAGGGATGATGATCGTAATAAATGAATTATTTATCATTTATATCATACAGGCGAATGCGACAAATGATCCCGCAAATGTTTACTGTAGCTTCTGGAATTACTCTATTCCGTAAGTAGGAGATCGTGAATAAAACTGCTGGTCAGAAGACGACTGATTGATTGACGACATTGACTGATTGATTAATTGATTAGTTGATTGGATGTTTTGCTGATAGATTGATAGATTGATTAATTGATTGATAGATAGATAGATTGATTGATAGATTGATTGATTTGCTGATTGATTGATTGATTGATTGATTGATTGATTGATTTGCTGATTGATTGATTGATTGATTGATTGATTGATTGATTGTTTGATTGATTGATTGATTGATTGATTGATTGATTGATTGATTGTCCATCTCATTTTGCAGTTCTTCTTACAACGGTAGTTGGTCAGGGCGTGGCTGTAAGGTGAAATCAACTACAGGAACACGCACTGTTTGTGAATGCAATCACATGACAAACTTTGCTGTACTCATGCAGCTTAGACCCGAAAAGAAGGTAAAAAAGAAAATTACACGCTACAGCTATAATCAAGTGCACTGGCCTGTTTGTAAAAAAAGCTAATCTAGACGTTTGTTATATCAAGGAAATGACTACTGATGAGTTCTGCCAGTTTTCTAATGACACAGTTGCCTGATAAAGTGATAACATGTCAAAATGTACGGACGAGACGTTTAATAAGTCATTTACATCTTCTTTCATATAGATTGATAAGAAACATGAAGTAGCACTCACCACTATCACATACGTTGGCTTGGCACTTTCATTCATTGGGGAGGCTGTCACAGTATTCTGCTATTTTACTTTCTTGTAAGTAATCATCACTTGATAAGAATGCTTGAAATGCAACTATACTAATGGTTTTGTTTCGTTCAGTTCTAGAAATAAACACAACGACAAAATTCAAATAAGAATAAACTTATTGTGTACACTGGCCAGCGCTCAATTAGTGATAATGGCAGGACTGAGTCAAACGAAGAATAAGGTTGCCCTTAATGTTTATATTACCCTGTTCAAATGTCTTATTCTTTTATCCAATTTTCATTCATTCAAATTCATTTCTATGAACAACGCTATGACGTCACATCAAAACTTTCAACTGTTCTAACCCTAAGGATTGTGGTCGCTAGAGAGGACAAATTGTCGGGACGACAAAACTAACGAAACCTATAAAACACATTTTGGTGAAAATGTAAATAGAGGCTGTATTGATCGACATATAATATACGTTTTCGCTCAAATTTCCATTGTTACTAAAATATTAACAGTGCCCCATTTGTAAACATGATATGACGTCATAATGYTATAGGGTATATGTATTCCACAAATCTGTTCATATTTCATCTATAATTTGTTTTGTTGTTTTTTTCTTCAGGGTGTTTGTGTATTCATCGCAGCGTTTATTCACTACCTCTATCTTGCATCATTCTGTTGGATGTTGATGGAGGCAGTTATTCTATACAAAATGGTCGTGAAAGTATTTGATATTGTTCTCAGAATGAGATATTCTTATCTATTTTGCTATGGTATGTATGGCACATTTAGAAACAATCGCTSAATAAAACAAAAAAACGTTTTATTTTAGCTAACAACGATTTGAAATCTGATATTTACAAAAGCGCAAGATGGCTCATTCATTCGACTTCGAACATTGTCTAATTCAAACAGCATTTATTCTAATAATAACAAAGAAGCAACGAAGAATAGTTTACTACTGTTTCGAGTATTAAGAAATGAGGTTTTTATAAGTTGAAATCAAACTTCATTCAAAAGGAAAACAGAGATTTACGAGCCATTTCACAGATAACACACTGTTCACTGATCTGACAATATGTGAACAATTTGCAACAGAAAATGTTGTCAACACGCCTTTCAGAGCAAACCAAAATACCCACAGYACAGCAAAAAAGTTAAGAATATATCCCAGTGTAGTCTCTCACCTTTTAGCTGTTGAAAACACAAATATTTCCAATAATATTTTGAAATTCGCGGCCCATCGCTGCAGTCGTCCTGTCCTATCGAAGAATTTTCGTAACCAGATTTCCTCGGTCAAAAGTAACACAGGCATTCTGACGCGAGCACATGGAACAGTTAATGACCCTTAATCTTATTCTTATTATCATTTATATTATCTTTTATAGGTTTTCCTCTAATGGTCGTGCTTCTGGCGCTATTTTTGGCGGAAATTTGTACAGGAGGAATTCATACTTATTCTAACAAAAACTTGTAGGTCTTTCATACAGTAAGCGCTTAAAATTACAAAGTCTTTACYTTGACTTGTTTTGTTTAAGCTGTTGGGTGAACTCTGAAAACAAACTGATTTGGTCATTCGCTACTCCTGTTCTTATAATAATARTGGTAGGTTGTTAGAATGAATAAATGAATAAGTAGAATAACCAAGGAATGAATAATTGATTGGATGAGATAATTAATTCATAATTGAATGAAAGAGCTTTAAATAAATTGATGTGAGATGAATGAATAAACCAATAATATATGACTTCATCAAATAAAATGTTTTTTGAGCAGCAATTATTTCACGTTGATTTACTTTTCTTGTTGGTTTTTGTTTCACCATCAGATCAACAGCATCCTACTTACCTGTGTCCTCAAAGAAATGTTCAGTATAAAGCCGGTCAAAACCGGCAATTCTTCTGAGATGTCTATGATCAGGTACATACATGGCACAATGATGATGATAAGAATGGATATAATGATGATAATGGATGATGATGATGACAATGATGAGTCACAGAATCACCGCAACATCGCATTTTAGCGCTCCTATACAGCCTTTTAAGAAGTCCCGAGGTATTGTGTTCTCCGCACTTGACGTCAAATTTATTCTTTTGAATTCCTTTTGTATTGTAAAAATTTCAAAAGAAAAAATTTGACTTCAAATGCGGAGAACTCAATGCCTTGGGACTTATTAAAAGGGTGTATACATCACCGCAGAGATCACGGCAACACCGTAAAAAAAATATGATCCCCCTCTTCAATTTTCTTATATTTCTTCCAAAGGGCAAGCGTRCGTGCATGCGTTGTTATACTTCCTCTTTTGGGTCTCACGTGGTTATTTGGTCTTTTGAGTCTTGCTGGTATTGGTATCGCGTGGCAGTATGTATTCACCATACTGAATGCAACACAGGTAACCCAACAGATTCATCACTAAAAACTAAAGTCTTAAAGTATTATAATAGAATCCCTTTATCTTATCCATAGGGCTTTGTGATCTTCATAGTACATTGCTTAAGGAATTCGGAGGTAAAAACAATCGATATTTCACTTTCTGACAGCTTTGCAAAAAGGTGTTGACGGATTTTAGCTCAGTAAGCAGTCCGTGGCACATGCTGTGACCTCATTTTGAAGATAAAAAATACCTGGGGACAAATAGCGAAAATGTTCCTATAGTAATAGATGTGTTTACTAATATTAAGTTCCACTTTTTTTTATTGTCAGCTCAAATCCGCAATAAAACTACGTTTTAACCAGTGGCAGAGTAACCATAGCAACATTAACTACAGTAAAGAGAAAGCCACACCCGACGTCAAACATCTCCACACAAAAAACAGATCAGAAAATGTCTCACCCCGCAATAGCGTTCCCATGACATCGGTTATGACTAATAAAGTGATGCCTAATAATACGTTATAGTTGGTAAAGTGAAGTAAAAAGCTATGATATCAAGAATTGACGCCAAAATAACGTCAAGATATCAGACCGTTTCAAGGATAAATACTGACAAGTGGACAGTATCAGTGTGCAAGATCGGTTATCATAAAATGTGCTGTCAACTAAAGTTTCAAAGAAACTCTATAACGGCGTGCAAGAGAGCACGATAAAACGAGCCTACCTTATACCGTGCCAACGAATACTTACGGGTCTTGAGTCTCTGAGATATCAAAACTTGTATAGCCGGGCTACACCAGTTACACCGTGAAGACTTGTGAGCATCTCAGACTGTGATAATTCAACAGAAAYGCCACGACCGAATCACGCTTAACGTTAAATTCACGTCAAGATCATTATGACTGAAAGACTTCATTTAAAGTTAGCAGTAGAGGAACATACTACRCGACAATTAAAAGAATATTTCTGAACCAAGGAGCAAACAGACCGCGTCGGAGTACATTATAAAAAGTAGGGGTAGGGTGGGGGTAGARCTGACTATTAAAAATAGCATTTGAATTAAAGTTAGGGGGTAGTTTTAAGAAACCACAGGAGAAAAAAATAAAAGAGGAAAGTGCGCGGGCTACAAACCATGGTCAGTGCTAGCCACAGCAGACAGTGAAAACGCGTCCTATTCCAATCCAAGCGCAACCMATTGCAAATATTTTGACTAGAATCGATTAAAATTACACCATATGGTTGAAAAATTTGGTTGCATAAATAAAATCGGAATTTGACGCTTTTTCGTTGCCCGTGTTTGAGATTTGGAATACGAAAGGAACCGTCTTTTCCTAAAAAATGGACATCTATTTTCTCTTTAGAAATATATCCCCAGAAAAGATAAGCGAACAAGGAGTGGTAAAGGGGGGTCACTCCCCCTTTATCCCCCCCCTCCCCACACAGCGCAAAGCAGTCTATAAAAAAGTTTTAATCTTTTTATTAAAATGTAGTTTCAAAACATAAATTACCAGGAAACGTTATTTATATCCATAAATGATTATTTTAGAAAATAAAACGTATTATTAATGAGCCTGGAGTCATGTAAATGAATAAAAATAAAAGGGAGAATATTTAAAAAAATGTGATTGGAAAACAGAGGGAAATCAGAAAGAGGGGACAGAAGGTCTTGCAAAGGCAAAGTCTCAGCTTTTGGGTTGCCTGTGGTAAAAGCAATATGGCGGCCTACATGGACGCTGTTGCTGGGCTACCCAAAAACATAGTTCTAATGGTCTCTTGATAACTTAAATATGAGATGTCACCGTTTCTCATACTTTTAAACATCTTGAGGTATGTTTAAGTCTYTGTTCAAAAGGAAAAAGAGCGATCCCGAAAGTGCAAATGTGCCAAACGATTCCCAGGGGACGACGGATTCTCCAGCACAACAACAACAAGAATCACCGATCGATGAAGTATTGCATAAATTGTGCGAAGATTTAGACCCTTGGGACAGCGAAAATTATTCAGGTATAGAGCAAAACAACGTGATGTCATCACGAAACTTATATAACTGTTAAAGAACATGTTTTGACTTCGAAAAAACGCCCCGAAAGGATATATTAGACTTATACAATTAAACCATGTTTAGGTTCAGATCACGTAAAAATAAGCCTACAGAAAACACACAATTAAATGCTGTTGTTGAAAATGAACAATCGGATGACACTGTCGAAAATCAGCAGYCGGAAAACGTTGCTGGTGAAGCTWTAGTGTCTTCATTGACTACTACAAACTCCATGGGCAAATGGTTTGGCGAAGGTATTATCTGATTTCCAGTTATAACTAATTTGAGTGACAGATGATTTGATTGATTGATTATACTACCAATCAAACACAAGACAAATTTATATTGAGTGGTGTGATTGTGATCATAATTAACTCTCAGTGTTTTTTTCTTCACTCCTGTTCATAATTTATGTGCCCCCCCTTTTAGAGTCAGTTTTTCATGAGTGGGAAACGGACAGTACTGTACTGTAACCGTAATCGTACTGTAGCCAAATTCTAGTGTCTCATTGCTTCACAAAAATTGGGCAGGCCAGGTCCGGCAACTGTGCTGTAATTTCTACTGTACGTTTCCCACTCATACGAAATTGACTCTAAATCCTACAAGCAGTGAATTTCTCTTCTTTCTTGGGCCATCAGCCCARAGGGTTGATAAAAGCTGTGCATTCAGCCTCTACTTCCACCCTACACTGGCACATCTTAATTTGATTTGATGTTTGAAACACTGACTTAAATATTGTGTTTGTTATTTTTACAGTCACTGTTACTGAGGCACAGTACCTTTGGGCTYGCTACAAGCAACTCCTTCAAGGCAACAACAAACTCCTCACCGACAATGTCTTGACACAGGAGCCTTTTGCTTCAAACTATCTTCTTCAGCAGGTACAGAAAATGCTTAGAGCGGATTTCGTATGAGTGGGACACCGTTACCGCACGGTTACCGCACAGTTACCGGACCTGGGCTGCACAATTTTGGTGAACCAATGATGCACTAGAATTTGGTTACAGTACGATTACAGTCACAGTACAGTACCGTCCGTTTCCCACTCATACAAAATCCTCTCTATTGTGAATAGGCTGTACCAACTGTCCACAGGAAGCCCAGCAGACTGGGAATGTATCTTTTGTACTCTCATTTTCCTTCTCTGGTTTATGTAGATCTGGACAACAATCCCAAGAGATGAAAATGGATTTGTGACTTTTCCATCTTTCTTTGGTGTCATTAAGTGGTGGCAAACTGTTGATAGGGAAACAAAATTGAGAGGTAAACTTTGAACATCTTCCTAACACTTGTGCAGTCATTAAAATAATCAATATGTTTGTGTCATTTCAGGAATATTCAAATTAATCAACAAAACTCAGCCACTTGATGTTGAAAATCTTRAATGGATTTTCTTAAAACTGGATGCAACTCAAAATGAGGTGCAGTAGATTTGTTTTCTGTTGTTGAGATACAAAATCTTGTAAGTTAGTACATTTGTATGTTTTTAGGAAACTGCTGGCCAAAAGGCTGATCTTTTCATGTCACATGTAGACACTAAAAATCAAGGTAAAAAAATATTTATAATAATTCACAAATTAGTCAGTACAAATAAATCCTTTACCATGAACTATCTTCTATTGTTTACTGTAGAGCTCAAAATAAGAGCCAGCATGATGAAATCTTTATTTAATATTTAAGAAATATAAAACAACGCTGTCCTCTGATATAAACACGGTGGGAGTTCGAAAAACACGAGAGAAGCAAGCTTAGGAACACGAGCGTAGCGTTATATATCAAAAATTTTATAAATTGATATACATGTAGGTTTTGTAGATGAAGAGCAGTGGTTACAGGCACTGAGCAGRCTTTCAAATGAAGAAATTGATGACTTAACTAAAGTGAATATTCTTCCAATGGATCCAGAATCATCTAGTCAAGTTTTACCATCACTAAGGTAAACTTGCATAACAAAGTGATCCTTTCCAAGGCAGAATGATAAATTCTCACATAGATGAAATAGGCAATGGATTGTCTAGAACCCTCAATGTCTATAGTATCCCTTCTTTTTCACTTTACTCCTCTTTTTCCATTCAATTCCCATTTCAATTTCTTTTGTAAAACCAATGCAAGCTATCAATTTTTTTCAGGCTAACATCTCTTGCCTCTCTTATCTTTTAAAAAGTTATTAAATTTATAATCTCAAAATCATCATGTTTAACATATCTGTCATCATTATCATCATCATCATCAGGTCTGTTAAATGCCAGCACTAGGGGGTAGGAGTCAGGATATTTTCTCACCATTTCTCCTAATTATTATTCAGTCCACATTCTCCACTCCCTGAAGACATGATTATCACCATTTCAAGCAAGATTGGCGAGAGAGACTGGAAGCCATTAGCAGACAAACTTGGCTTCAATGAAAAAGAAATCAAGTTGATTCAACGTCAATACCCAAACAGATCACGTGAACAAACATTYCAAATGTTAAGAARTTGGAATGAGAAAGACGGAGCCACTAAACAGAAGTTGGACTTTGCTTTACGGAGATGTGGAATGGATGATGTTTTGTTCACCCTTCAGAATGAGTGATTTAATYCTTTATGGAAGAATTTTTGTAGAAAATATCCCTCTCAGCCTTTGTACAGAACGCATTAAAGTAGAATGCATAATAAATAAATGCTTATTTCAAAGGACAGCACTCTGCATTTTGCGAGTCATGAGACTGTAAGCATGAGTTTTCTTAACAAACTACTCAAAATGATGTATATTATACATACAAGAATCAATAAAAATCAAAACATTTTATTCACTTAAAGCTTAGTTACAAATTTTAATAAGAATAAAATACACTTTAAATTATATATTGATTTATATCTGATTATGTTCCACTCACAGATAATTTAAATTATACCATAAAGTTTACACAACTCTTACCCTCTCATTACATTTTATATTATATCATAGTGTATAGCTTATAGGTCATTGATTACATGTCGAGTAGTTTATGAAGGAGTATATGTATGTGTTATGCATTTAATGAAATACAGTTCATAGTATGTGACCAAACATACTTCAGTGCAGCACAGATGAAATGGTGTCTTCTTTAGCTATTTTGAGGGTTGGCTTCATTAAAATGGCTCAAAGAAGACTCCCAACAACCTTATTCTTGCTTTTTCTGCTCTGGTTTCACTCTAACATATGCTTGATAATAAAAATTACCAAACAACACAACCATACTAAACCCATAAAAAATACCATAAACACAAAAACCATAATACATGTGCCCATATGTGCAGTAAACCAAACCTATAAAAAACTGCAAGATTTGAAGCTCKGTCATTCGCTTCTTCCAAGATGGCCGCTGGCTTTGGAAAAGTGCAGACTGACCATAGTAGATGTACAAAAAGACATGAACAAATGAGTTCATTCCCAGCATGAATCCTGCTGGAGGCCAGGGATAAATATGGTAGCTCAAGTCTGCAAGTAGTAGAATGCTTGAGTGGTGGTAAACCTAATAAAATACAACATTGCTGCATCAGAGAGACATTTTTGGGCATTTAAAACTTATATTTATTGTTTATTCAATTCCAATAAGCTAAAATGCACGTTTTGCAAAAAAAAACTTCAAGATAAGATATAATGGAAGTTAAAGTAGTATGCAAATCAGGACAAATCTCTTTCTCATATACGTGTAAAGATGTGGTCAGGGCAATGATTTTCCATTGTGTTTACCTTATGAATCATTAGTGAATTTGGTGAATTAAATGAGATGTCAGAAAGATGATAGAGAAAGATGCAGTAGTAAATGTAACAAAAGGCTGAAAATTGCTGCATAAGAGACAAGAGAGAGACATTGAAAGCTGAATCAATGTTTCAAACAACATGGTTCATTATGGTACTTATCAAACTAAAAGTGTCTCACTCTTTACAATAAGTGAATTAAAATAAAGTTTTTTACCACATTTGTGTAAATTCTCTTGCACTGATTGTCTGATTAGAGTGTGTCAATAGCAGGACTTACAACTCAAAACCGTGCGCAATTTGTTAAATGTCCCACTTACATGAAGAAATGATATCTGTCTCTGTTTGTGCCTTAAAATCATGAATACTGTATCCAACAATTCAAGGTTCTTGGTGACCCAATAAACGAACATAGCATGCTTGATGACTGAACTATTCTCCATTTTAAAGAAYGAATCTGCATCATTCTGTACAAAGTACTTGCCAATGATAAACACCGCRTACGCACTGAGTCCACTACACAGGAAATTGTAAACTACCATGACCTGGAGGAAATCAAAAATCAGGGGGAGGATTTGAGATAGGGGGTACATTTTTACATTTTGCGATTGTTAGAGCTTTGAAGACTTGAAGTCAATCATTAACTTAACATAATTTTTGTATTATAATGACTTTTATTATAACAATCAACTACTGTATTGAAGCAAAATGTTTTTTTTTTATGTAATTCAAGGGGAGCATAATCTAAATCATTGCTTTTTATAAACTTAACACTGCCCCATTCTGATAATTACTGACCAGTCCCCTTACAAAGAAAATTTTGATTACCTTTCTTAGGCCAAGGGCAGGCACAAGACGTTTCCATAGCAATGAAGCAGGTATCAAAATCAAGTAGACAAMAACTACAGGTATTGACCGCAGATTAATGATTGTTTGAAAGAACTTTTGATAGCGTTCTGAAAATGAAGTTTACAGTAAGTGTCAGTCTTAAATATCATATGATTTTTGCAACTATTAATTATCATTATCATTTGTGTATCATTTATAAATCAATCATAATAAATAACATAGCCAATTCAAAAATAAACAAGTCTTTCAATAAAGAAATACTTGATCTTGACCTGTGCGTGCATAGAAAAGACAGAGAAGACACTCAAACAGCRTCTTTGCCTACGAAATCTCTGCGTTGAAAATCTAAACAGCCATGCCTTTGAAAAGCTTGATCTCTTAACATAGACGGGAAAATAACATACTGAGATACTTAATAGTGCCATAAGGCTCTTCTGGACCGTTGAAGCTTAATAATAATATTGTTTGCAAAATGCCAGGCTCGGACTCTTGMATGAAACATTTTGCAAATCTATTGAGCGCCATAAAAAAATCATTCAATAATAATGATGTTATTGCTATCGACTAACCTGCCCTCGTAGTCATTTTCTTTGCAGTTAACACGGCAGATATTRAGCTGCTCAAAACTTTTGCGGGTAATTTTGAGTTGAAACAGCAGAGACCCCTCGTATCGCAGTAGGAGAGCAGGCAGAAGAGRGGGCAAAAAACAACAGGCGTTCCTGGCGAAAGACCCCCTCTCCCCATTTCCCACCGAGAGTCCCGAGAGTGCGGCTAGGAACGCCTGGCTAAATTTCCTCAMGGCCTCGCGAACAGCAACCTCGTTCCCATTGCCTTATCCCTTCGCTTGGGGTCAGTCGTGACCCCAAGCGAGGGGATAAGGCCCTGGGAACGAGGTTGCGCGAACAGGGGTGTATCGCAAGAATAGATGCTTTAGAAACAACGAAACAAAAATGGAAGTATAAGAAAGAATATAATAAAAAATGCAAAGAACTAAAACACCACCAACGGCTTTCGTGAGTTAGAATTCCAGGGCTTTCATCGCGAACTCAATAAATTGAAGAGTTGTTTGAAATAATAGGCTAGAGTGCGGTCAGATGACACGATGGAAGAGTATAGTCAAGTATAGTCATTCATTTCTTCAGATGAGGGCCACGTGTTAGATATAACTCTTTGGGTTAATCGTGTCACCCTCCTTAAATAAAGTTTATTGTATTGTATTGTATTGTATTCAGACAAGTGCCTCCCCAGTCTCCCGCTGGCTTTAGTCAATATTTAAAAACGGATCAACTATCTACAAACCCAGAAAAGGTAAACTGGTCATTCAACATTTAAACCTCACTCGCTGAAAGTTTGCTTGCTATAACTAAGCGATTAGGTGTTTAAATGATTTCGAAAAATAGTATTTATACATTGAAACAACTAAACAAAAATGTAAAAAAATACTGAGTATTTATTAATAGTATTTATACATTGCACGCAATGRCAAAATTTTCAGCCAATCACAAGCGAGCATTGCTATAGTAAGGACTGCCCAGAATCTATATACATGTCGTAGCCTACTTTCGCGTTCAAACTAAACATATCTTGTCTWAATCAACGTTAATCTTGAAGTTAAGGTATATCAGTGATAGACCATGTGGCAATATCAATAAAAATGATTTTGAATGAGTGAATGTATTCAAATTTTAGCTGAAATGAAATAGTATTGTGGTCAAGGTCAACTTTGAGTACGTAATAACTACGGTAATACTAAACACATTAAAATGTTATTCCGGGAATGGGTCCATAAAAAACACTGTGAAATTTTGAGTGCTATCTAACTACTTAAAAGTAGTTGAATCTTTGGCATTATGCTGTGATATAGTACTCCTCCGCGGTGTGCTCTACAGTGTCACGTGGTCGACTCCCCACCGAGAGCGCGGAATAACATTTTGTGTTGAATAATAAAAAAAATATATTTCGAGAAAAATATCGTAGCTTAAAAAATCATGATTAGATCACGTTAAAAATGTGTCTGGGTTTCGTCGTTTCAAAGGAATTCAATTATAATAATCAAGGGAGCATGGCTTGGGATTATTCATATTTTAATTGAAAGGAGKTTCCAATATGAACCTTCACATGGCCAAAAAATCCCGTATACCCGATATCCACTCATGCGATGTTATTCATAAAAAGTCGAATTTTATATGTTCAAGTAAAGACAAATGTGTGACTCTAGTTTTGGATTATTTCCTAAGTAATATTAAGTAATATTTCTTCTTTGACGTTATGGTGTAAAAAAAAAACCCATATCCGATGCCCATTCGTGCGATTTCAAATTCAAAGTCAACAGTTGGTTTCATGTTGCTGATTACTGAAGCGTTAGGATCAAATCGYTCATCCTTAAAATGTGACCAGTAGATGTGCCACCCTTTTAACCATCGACTGGTGATCAACAAGAGAACAAAGGAACACTGCGAACAAAGATCAAAAGATCAAATGATCAAGAAAACAAACTCGACTTTCAACTCGTACACCCGCATTTCAATATGGCGGATCTTGAATTTGAACTGGCTTAGCCTCTTAGTCGTCACGTGAAGACTCTTTTTATAGTTAAACGTGATTGCGAGGCTAGTGCTGTAATCTAGTCAGCGATACTACATCATATTCTGCCGCTTGTACGTTACTGACGTCTTTTCTAGCTTACTGAATTAATATATTCCATAAAAATTATAAATTGTTCAGAATTCAGTGTCC